TGTCTTTGAGGGGAACGAATCGATTTTGAAACACATTCGAAACCGTTATTTCACGACTGTTGTTTTTGCGCAGGGCGCGGGGCATTACTCGCAGTGGCCAACGCCGTTCGGTTTTGCGGAGTCTGCGGCCCAGACCATCGCTTTCCTTGATGCCGAGATTTCGGGCGCGCAGGGTGAAATCGTTTTACGTAATTAGATCCACTAACTGATTCTGTAAAACAGGGTGTGCGTTCCGGGGTAAAAATGTAATGCCCTTGTTCGTTTTTGAGCTAATTTCGAGTCGCTCTATTTAACACATATGAGACCCCTCATTTCTTTCCGGGTGAGGGTGTCTCATAAGGACATTACGGGGCATATTAATGTTCCTGGTCAGCAGCTGAAGGGCCGTTGCACATTCCACCGCGGAGTGTCTTCCGGCTGTCATTCTGGCGACATGGGGCGGGGTCCCCTGGCCGATACGGAGGCTATTAGTGGAATGCTCATATCACATTGGCCTTCTCCCTAACATGGCAGGCCTTGTGACCCGCGCAGTTGGCCCCGGATCAACGCAGGAATCCCCATTCACGCAACCACGCAAGAGCCCATATTGACGTATCGGTCAGGAACCTGGTGCCCTGTAAGGCACCAGGCCCCTGACCGATACAGGAGCTCTTCATTTTTGTAGGGGCCCCCGACCAATGCAAATCGCGGGCCCGGCCCTGTTCCTGTTTGGAAAATGGGCCCAAAGAGGTCAAACCGACACGGGAGCCGACTGTTCGGTGCTGGTGATCTCTGGACAAAATATAGAAACGCTCTGTCTCAGGGGTCCCCAGTCGGTACAATAGTCCCTCTAACCTACATTTGAGGTCACAGCCCTGGGCGGGGGTCCCTACTGTGACCTACGGCCAACCCTTCGGGCCCTTCAGCATTCCAATCGGGTCCATGATCTTTGGCCCTGAGGGGCCCTTCGGCCCGTCTTCGCACCCTGGGGACCTTTGGCCCTTAAGCAAAGCCCGTGACCGAATCGAGGCCATTAACTGACACATGACCCCCTTGTTGGACACTGTGGACCCCCTCCCCGACACGCGGGTCTCAGCCACTGTTTCAGGACCCACACCAGTGCAAGTCCAGTGTAGAGTCCAGACCAGTTTCCAGACCAGTCCAGTCCAGATCAGTTTCCAGACCAGTGTAAGTCGTGTTCCCAGCCTTGCTCCTGCTTGGGAAATGGGCCCGAAGGGTTCAGACTGATAGGGAGCCAACTATTCAGTGTTTGTAATCTCTGGCCGACCGAGATACCTGCATTGCCAAAAAGCCCGTGCCTGCGCTACTGTATCAAAGGATCCGATATCTAATGACCTCCAGGTTTTCAGAGCTTGGCGCGCCTGTGCCGTGCTGCTCGGAAATCGTTCTGGAAAAACCTTCGTGGGGGGATAGGGGGCGGGGAGGTCAAACTGACCCCAACCCGAGCGCGTGTTAAAACGTTTGAGAGAAGATAGAGGTTACCACTTTGACACCAAAGTTCGGAGCCCTGAGAGCCAGCTGATGTTGAAACAGCATCCACTGTAACATCGTCTCAGTTAAGCCCTCGCCCTGATTCGCCTTTTTCATGCCGCGAACTGATGGGTGGGCGGAGGAGGGAGGAAGGGGGGCAATGCTATCCCACTAGCGTTCCAAGGTAACAACGATAGAACTTAGTGAAAAACGCCAATAGATCTATCTCAACGTGATCTCGTGGTTGGTACTAGATTGTATATTTAGGTCAATACGTGAACCTATTATGAAAGATTAAAGACCAAATCTTCCAGAAAATAACACTTTTCCAGACTTGCAGCATCATGCATACGGGCACATGACTCGTGACGACGCGAAACCTAAACAGACGTGTTTCTTGTTCAATTCAAAGAGCGGTGGTGTATCATCCGTGTTTTTTAGTAATGTTCATGACAAATTGCGTCCTTAATATGACAATGCCAGCGCGCGTTCCGAGGCATCATCGGCTGCCGGCCGCCGCCCGCGCCGCCAGTGGATCACCGCGCAATGTCCTAAAAAACCACCGCTGCTCCGAACCAAGAATAGCTGAGAACACGTTCTGGTGTCAAAACACGGTCAATGGCTACCCCATAGAGTACTGAAAGTTTGGGCACGAGTTCACGGAATGCTGGAGAGGTATCCTCAAAAACCTCACGGCAGTCACATAGACCCCGCCATCAGGGCGAGGGCTAAAATGGGTCTCAACCGGAAGGAGACTTGGGTCTCTACCATTTCATCTTCTCGGAAAGAGCTGTTGTGGCCTAGGATGTCCACGCTTGTGAGCCACGTTCTCTTGACAAAAATGCCCCTCCCAGCGTGACGCGATGTGCTTAGCAACCTCAAACGCTACGTAAAAAAGGTAAAAGAGTGGTCCTGCCGTGCTCCCAGATGGCCAGATATCATCGAAGTAGCTTTCAAGAGGTTGGAGTTTCGGAGAGAAGGTGCCTAGCACGAGCTTTCCTAAAAATGCCGTTCCAGAATATGGTATCACCACTGATGAGAACGTATGTGTGCTTTATAATCCTAAATGAGAGCTACCGACGGCTTTCTCCATGTACCACCCTCTACAGACACACCTCACAGACACCAACCTCTACCACCTGCTACGGACACACTCTACGGACATCACCCTCCATCACCTTTCACAGACACACTTTATTGATTACATGACAACTCTCTCCGCCCCCTGGTCTTTGGTCCGAATTTTCATTGCTGTGAATAGCATGGATTTCAGATTTGCTTCGCTTGTCAGCTACTAGCAAGCCGTGCATGGTCTGAGGACCACGGCATTACGTCGTTGTCCGCTCAAGAGAGTAGCTACCGTCGGCACACATGGACGCGTGAGACGGGTAACTTCGCTCAACAGTCCGGATGAATGACTCATCCAGTGAGCCCGCGTGGGGTGACCGCTGGTTGGGGAGGGTCGCACACCAAGCTTACGGCGGTGTAAGTGGCTCAGCGGTATGTGTCGCGTTAACGTTCTCATTTCTCTCTGTGGTAACGTCGAAATGCAAAAGCGACAGATGGCTATTGTTCTTGGTTTCCAAAAACTCGGCGGGAGGTCTCAAATCATTGACATGACTGGAAAGATCGCCGTGGGTGGGCCGACCTTGCTCCCAGATCGCCGGATATAATCCACATAGCTTTGAAAACCTCAGGGTCTCGGACGGGAAATGTCTAACGCAAGCTTTTTAAAACATGTCGTAAAAGCATTTGATAAACCACTTACAGGGATAACCTCATTGGATCTTGCGCCACAAAAAAACGGCAAAGAAACCATGTCAATTTGAAAATAGCGGCCCAAAATGCGATATTAAAAATAACTAAAAAGAAACAAAGCTCGAATAACATAACTTAAGGTAGCAATAAAACAGACACAAAAACAAGGTGCACCTTTTTTCCTAAGAATTGCCCCTGTCGATGCAACATGTTGTGTTCGTGCAGAGAACCGCCAAGTGTATTACCAAGGTCACGGTCGCAGAATGCCTCTCGCCACGGTAATATCCTCTCATAGCTTTTTGCGTGTCACTGATAGCTTTTGCCTGTCCAAGGAGTCTTGGTGAAAAAGGTTTTCACATAAAAGCCAGCAATTACATATGCGATGTTCAAGGAGGTGAACGTGCTATACACAGTTCGTAAATGAAATAAGCTTGAAGGCCAACATTACGCAATGATAAATTTGTTTGCGCTTGCCGATGGGTTTTGGGACATTTTTACGTGTACCATCAGTAGTTTCGGTCGTCAATTGTTCCGGCATTATATCTGTGTTTTTCAACGAAGCACTTGTGTAACACAACACCTTCAAGTTGAGTTCATTACAACTGCCGCATCTCACTGCATCGATAATTTAAGGTGCTGCTGCGTACAACTGTTGCCATGTTGAGTGTTGGTCTCGCCACTAAAAAGTAGTGAACACACTGTACAAGGTTCATAAGCGTAACATTCTTCCTACATAGCAAAGAAGAGCCCAGCAACCTTTCCACCACCACAACCTGTGAAAAATGATCTCAAAAACAAAAAGCTAACGGAACCCAAAGGTTTACGGACAACCAGTCTCAAGAATATGGTAACTTGAGACGCTATAGCAATCACGAACTGGCACACTGCTTTTACGAGAATTAAGATTATGTTCTGTACAGTCTCTGTCATGTCTGGCGTTCTTGCACCAAAAGTCAGCGATCATGCATTATCGCCATGTCTGTATCACGCTATGTGGAAGCAACGTAGGTCCTTTCCATGTGTTAACGTCAATGCGTCTCGATATCAGGGTGCACAGTAAAGTGCGCTAGACATCTGGTCACATGAAAAAAACACCGGTTAAAAGAAATGACTTTCAAAGGAACTTAGTTCGCTACCCATTACTGGACAGTAAGGCAGCAAAATAAACGCGGCCTGGGCGTGCCTTTACTTCTGATGGGTGAAGTATGCGAATTAGATGCAGAGATTTTGTCGTTAATCATGTTTACTTGATAACATCAAGGTGCTAATTCAAAGCGAAAAATCCCATTAAATGTAGTGAATTTCGATGTAAAGGAGCACACTGCTGGGACTGTGTGAAACGAAAATATTGCTGATAGATTCGGTCGAAGCTGTTCGGCAGCATATCCCAGCTTTTCAGCTCCGCGCCGCTTATCGCCACGCAGCCGGCAGCCGGTCAACTATCCAACTGCCCACGGTCTAACTGTCACCAGTCCAACTGAACCCAGCGGCGGGTTCGACAACATAGCATCGGCAAAGCAACGTCTGCATTGCACGTTGTGGTAAACTCCCTGATAATTCTTACGTCGTTTAGCTACAAACGAAGCCAGGCAGAGTGGTGTGACTGACCTGCAGTGGCGAGGTTAGACTGATATGACTGACATGCAGTGACACGGTCAGAGTGATGTGACTGACCTGCAGTGACGCAGTCAGACTGATATGACTCACATGCAGTGACGCGGTCACAGTGATGTGACTGACCCGCAGTGACGCGGTCAGAGTAATTTGCTGACCTGTGTAGGCCGTGGTGGCTGCCGCGCCGACTACGGCCAGCCGGCTCCTCGTTCGACTGGCGGCGGCTCTTGAGCCGGCGTGCCTGGTTCATCTCCTCCGCGGCGCTGTCGGGCGAGAGCGAGTCGCGCCGGCGACCGCGCGCCGCCGGGTCCGCATCGCCTGGATCAGGTGAGAGGAACGGCCGCGAGCCGCGCCTGCCGCGCGCCAGCGGCGAACTCTCGTCGAAGGCGGCCGCCTGGCGGCGCAGGCCCCCCTGCTTGGGCGACGGCTCGCGGCCGCGGTACGACGGCATCGGCTCGGGTGAGATGCAAGCGCGCGGGCGCGCGTCGCGGCCGCGCGCCAACGGTGTAATGGTCGGCAGCGAGGTGCGGTGCAGGATGGCGGCCGGCGCCGGCACGGTCGGGCTCTGGCGGCCTTCCGAGACATTGGCAGTGCTCAGTGTCACACCCTCCTCGGCCGGCTCGCGCGTCGCCTCGTCATCGCGCTGGCTGAGCAGCACCGCCTGGCGTGCTTCGATCAGCGCGCGCGGCTCGATGTACTTGCCGTCCGGCGAGACGGCTGGCTTTGAGTCGCGCCGGCCGGACGAGCTGGCCGACTGGCGGCGCGTGCGCAGCTCCTCGCGTTCTGTGTGCACCTGGATCTCGCGCCGCTTGCGCCACAGCTCCGTGACGCTGTCGCGGCCGGCCAGCAGCTTGGAAATGTCCGTCTTGAGGTCGGAACCGGAGTCCACGAGGCGACGCGACTTGAGCTGCGCCTCGGCCAGCGACTGGCGCCGGCTCGCCTTCACGCGCGGCGCGTCGCGCGTGTCCGAGTCGCGCCGGCCGAACGGCAGCGAGCGCGCGAAGTCGGCCAGCGTCTCGCGCCGGCTCAAGTCGCCGCGCTTGCGCTCGCCGCTGCGACTCCAGTCGCGGATGAGGTCGGTCAGCTGCGCCAGCGACGAGCGGCGGCGGCGGCGCGGCCGGCCCGGCGGCGACGGCGGCTCAAAGGTGGCGATCTGCGCCGACGAGTCGCGCCGACGGATCGGAATCGGCTGCGACGCCACGTACTCGTCGGCGCCGTTGCCGCCCTTCCACACCAGCCCCACCTGGTGGCTGAGGATCGGCAGGTTGCAGACGAAGCACAGCGCCGACATTGTGCTGTGGAAGCGAGAGGGGAGGCGTCAGTGAGGGGCGCTAGTAGGATCGCCGCGTCCGCGAGCCTTCTGTGACAGGGGCGCACGCATCATCACATGGATTCACATCACATGGGCACGAATGCACACCATCACATGTGTTCCTCCAAACACCATATGCTTGTCCAGATAGAGTTTGGCTGCGGTGCTGAGGTTGCTGGCGGGTTTGTTCGTCGTTCGTCGTTCGTGTTTCTGGAAAATGAGGCTTGCTACCTGCAGACGTGCGAGTGTTAGTGGTCACGAGCGACGTGACCTTTAGGAAAATCTTGACCTATTATTTGTCAAGGAGGTAAAAAATATTGCCGTGTTATGCGCCACTTTCATTTGCGTTGTCTGTTTTATACCTTGTAGCTTTTGCATGCACCATGACGTGGAACCTCAAAATACACCTTATGGAAGCCGCTGAACACATATGTATCTATTCCCATTATTCGTAGCGTCGTGGCGGTACGGTATAGGTCGTGATAAATACAGCGACGGCATGTAGCCACAAACGATGGGACGCATCCCATTTCACTCCGTAGTAGCAGCGTCATGACTCGTTGCCCTCGGGAGCTTACACGCGCCTTAGTATGACCATCCATGCGCATATTTGGTGGAGGTTTGATGGTATGTGGCGCTGCTGCACGCCCCACTTTCTCCAGCATCTAGCATCACCTCACGACACATCGTGCCAACACTGGGAGCAGTCGCTGATGTTGAACGAGATTGTTCAGACAACAGCCGACGACGTTAGGGACTGCGTGTCACACAAAAGCCTCTCCACAAGTTGAAGCCAAAATGGTAGGCCCAGAACGTCGGTAAACCAATAGAAAACATTGAGCGAGCTCCGCACATAAAGCGGCGGACATAAAATGGTTGGCCTTACATGTTCCTACCCCTAACTTGTTGAGAGCACGCCCTCGAATTCCCATTATAACCTACACCGGATATTTGCTCGTAATAACGACTAATGCGCCTGTAATTGCTCATCAACGAACCGCTCTAATCAAATTCCGCACTAAAAGTAGGGTAATGAAACGGACCAGGAAAGGAGGTCCGATCGTAAAACGACTGCAAGCAAATGGGCGCAGATTCTCAAGCACCGCTTCAGACTTGTACGCGATTGAAGCTCGTTAAGCACCGCAAGAGACATGCTCAGCGATACTATGGGTCAGAACCCTGTTAGGCACTACATGCTGCTTGTGCGGCCCGTGCCAGACGCGTAAGCGGTCCCGAAGCCGGGTCAATTGATGACCCAGGAGGTCAGACGATGTCCGCGCCTACAAACCGAACAACCAAGGAGGCCTTGGGACGGTATGGGCAATAAAGGAGATCTACGGCAGCCTTTGACGGGCACGCCGGAGTAAACTTCGCATTGGCATTCAGGGGCGCCAGGAAGAGCGGCGTCATCTATCTTGACGGCCCGCGGCGGGCGGACGCAGCAGCCACACGGCACGGGGCGCGACGCACAGTGACGCATGCACGGGAAGAGGGAGAGGCGGCCGAAGCGGGCGAGCGCTGGCTTCTCAATAACGCTGGCAATTTTGAGCTGGGACTGATGTAGACATGGCGTTGTGTAGCCGGCTGTGCACCTAAGCCCTTGGCCACCGTGTAGGAGGGTGTTTCGCTTCTGGTGAGGCGTGACACCGGTACTGCACGTGCCGCCCTGGTAAGCATGCGAGGGTGCTCGTGATATGATGACGCTTGTGGAGGTGCATTACGCACAACAATGGAACACTATTCCCTGATTGCGGTGCCATGGATCTCGTATGTAGGAACATCGTTTGGTGTCATTTAACGCATCATTTGATCCAATCGTTCGAACTTGAGCATGTGTGCTGTTGATTGGGACGTTAAGGCTGTTTGAAATTGATTTATTGTTGTAAATCGATGTATGTGGTATAGTATTGGTTGGTTGTGAACAAACACACACATGCACACGCAAACGCACACGCGCGCATACACACCCACACACACCCACACACACCCACACACACACCCACACCCACACCCACACCCGCACCCACACCCACACCCACACCCACACACACACACACACACACACACACACACACACACACACACACACACACACACACACACACACACACACACACATATATATATATATATATATATATATATATATATATATATATATATATATATATGTATCTATTGGTATATTCAAAAGTTTTATCAATGACCCTATACTTCGTGCAATATGTTCTTCAAATGATCAATCTTACGACCACACAAGGAAAACCCACGGGTATGTTTTGAAAGATTAGAAGCTGTTAACAAGAACAACGCGCGGAACTTTTACGATAACCTGACTCGCGCAATATTAGAGCATGGTCCGCAGCCCTCTCACAGGGTGCACAATATTGATGAAACTGTCCTGAGCCTTGTTCCCGAAGTTCCGAAAATGCTGGCTCAATGACAAAGCAAAGTCTGCAAAATTACTACAGTAGAACGGGTTAATCTGACAACGATCAAAGGACGAATCAGCACGTCGGGCGTGGCAGTCCCACCAATGACGATCTTCGGTGGGAGAAAAGGAAGAACCTGGTACTAACGAAGAACACTCTCGTTGGAACTCCCGTAGGCGCCGCCAGCGACAGCGGCTGGATCAACTCCGGACTTTTTGTACCGTAGTTTCGTTACTTCGTCGGGCATGCCGCTCCAGCGTCTGACAGAAGAGGTCTATTGGCTATGGATAACCACAGCAGCCATGCCGGTCTGGACGTCATCTCCTTAGTGCGGAGACACGGGGTAGACATCGTGACCATACCACCACCCTGCTAACGCGGTCCGCAGGCTTTCAACCTGACCGTGTTCTGGTATCTCAAAGCGGCCTTGGCCAGGCAGGTGAAGCTTTTTCGCCGTCAGTGGCCTATAGGCCGGTGGAATCGTGCCATTCAACCCTGACTGTCTCCTGGAAAAGCCAAAACTCTGCCGTCACAACGCTGTACTTCGACATAAGCTCGTACTCCCTCCTCCAACAGTTTTCGTGTAGCCGAAAGACGAACGCTATCGGCAACGGAGCGGCACATCCCTCGTCACGACCATCTCCCCTGTAAAAAGGTGATGGGAGGAGAACGCCCGAGCGAAAATGCGACCAACGCTTTGTAAAAAGCAGAAGAGCTAAAAAAGAGTGGAACAGAAGCAATGAGAAGAAAGGGCCATTAGAAAGTGTTTTCGGTACAGATGAAATATATGTGTACGGCTCAGAAGGTGTCATCGGGAAGAATGAGGCGTGGCTTCTCGGTAGTGGATGCACTCGTTGGGCACAAAAAGCGTGCGGTAACGGATTTAGCAGCACAGGGTTCGTTTGCGAGATGTTCTGTAATTAGGTATCATGGTAAATCAGCTGTGCGGCGAGAATAAACGGATCTTAAGTACCTACCAGTTTTTTACAGTGCGATAAAATGAGAACAAATGGAAGCTAAATGAATATTTGCTGTGTAAAGGATGTGTAAAGGATGTGTAAAGGATGTCCTTGCTAATTATTCCAGGACCGGTTGTAAGAGGCCAGTATGCTTCGAAGGTGTACCGATTTCGGTATGCATCGAAATCTCAGGACGCCCTAGGTGAAATGACACAGTACTAACTCCGAACCGTCTGACAGCTTATATTAGGAACCTTGAAAGGAAAAAAGGGAAATCTCAATAAAGGCAGTGTTAAATGTCGAGACATTACTCCACACTTCAAGTCAGAAGGACATGGCCTAGGGTCATAGGCGCAATTTCTACGAATGAAAAACGCGCAGGCAACTCTTCCCGCAAATTTGGTGATTTTAAACGTTCTAATCAGGCGACCGCAAACACTGGCACAGTCGTACGGACTGTACCGAGAAATGAAGCCGGGTGTAGCCTCGCTGTCGGTGCTACCCGACAATACCGCGCTTATTTTTCAAAGCCTGAACTGATAGCTAATTTGCACCCGATTTTGACCGACCTTTGAAATAATAAGAAAAATGATTATTGATTGTCTGCGAATCACCGAGGGTGAAAAATTCCAATTTACCGGATGTCATTGGTGACAAAAAACTGGCGCTTTTGCGGACCAATTGGTGACAAAATTGCGAAAATAAAGTAAATTTCGACAGACCAGACCACACCACAACAGGTTATCTCAGCTAGACGACACTCAGAGCTTGGTATTAGTCTGCTCTCGCTAACGCTTGCAACGCGAGCATGTGTAGAGCACATGTCGAAACGTTGACGTCTAGCTGCATCAGCAACTTGAGCCATGAGATGCTCCCAAATATAGTGGCTTTAATCAGGATAGCTTTTAGCAGGTGACCGAAGCACACTACAAACTATGCTATATCAGTGCTGACGTCACAGATCAGGGGTGGTACACTCATTTTCCAATGCCCCTTAGATCAGTGTTTTTCGCAGATTTTGAGTCAAGATTCATTTTGCATGCTAAACAGCATAAAATACCAAATAACTGGGCCTATTACTAGTCGTAACAATCGTGGCTGGCCACAGTATCCTGCGACGAATGTGATCAGTTTGCTACGCAGCATTTGCAAACGTCTTGTCATTTGAGACAGATGGGCTCGATTGTTTGCCACGCGGTGGTGCGTTGGGTTAAGTGCAAGGCTGCGGGCTGCTGTTGGTTGTGTTCATGTCGTGAGAAGCTGACTGGCCAGACGGACGTAGTTTATTGTCAGTTGGTTTTTTAAGGTGACTGCGTTAAAAAACCGTGCCGACCTAGGAGGATCACTGTTTGTGGATACCTGGGCTGTAGCTTCGAAGGAAAACGGAGGTTGTTGGAGCGACAAAACTCAAGGGTTTATCCGTGGCTTCGTACTGCTGAAAGGAACAGCGGCTTTTAGATAAGAGGCCGATAATCGCTTGTGTAAGCCCCTCATGTTGCCCACTGCACCTCAGTCTTGGCGCACTGGTCAGTGGACAGACGTGAGGTAGAACGATTTTAGCTGTCATCATATTGCATATAAAGCTACA